ATAGGGCTTCAATGCAATTGTCTGTAATTACAGGTTTAGAAAGTTTCCACACTGGTTATTCATGGTAATTGCTCATAAAAAGGTTTATAAGTCTCATGCATATTTTCTTCTTCACATACCTTTAGAGGAGGTATCACAGCCCTATAATTTAGTAGCAGATATGTATCAGTTGAGATCTGCTGTGATCGACAGACTCTGATCTGTCTCTGTCTCTGGCCAACACTACATGAGAAGGGAAATTCAAGTGACTGAAAGGGAGAACTGTGTGGATCTGGAGATCTCTTCTACTGAGTGACAGACTCTGATCTGTACTACTGTGCTCTGAGGCCAACAGTGACGGAGGGAAGGAGAGGAGAGGAGAGGAGAGGAGAGGAAGGAGAGAGAGAGAGGAGAGGAGAAGGAGAGGAGAGGAAGGAGAGGAAGGAGAGGAGCGGCTAATCGGCAGGATGAGAGGAGAGATTGAGCATCTTAGAGCAACTGTACTTTGGGGTGGAGCTTGTAGGTAAACTAAGCAGAAATTATCACAGAAAATATTGCAGATAAGTTGGTTTGGAATAATCAGGTTCTGTTGAGATATTAGTCAGTTGACTTCCAACGCCAGCCATGTTGTTCATCTGGTCAATTATTATGTTATCAGTAATAGGTCAGTTTTGCTTCAAGTAGTGTCATGTTTTCTGTTTTGAAAATAAAAATACATTTTTTCAATAAAAAAAATTACTCAACGTTAATCTCTTCCCATTTGCAGGAGGCAGTTACGAGCAGACTATCGAGCCAAAACCAACATGAAGTGTATGGAGAGGAGGGTAGTAATGTTCTTCTTTCCTGCAACTACTCCTCAGCGTACAGTGTACTGTGGTATAAACAGTATCCAGGATCAGCTCCCCCAATATCTTCTGCTCATCCTGCACTCCACTGGGACTGGATATAGAGCTGATTTCCTTGACTCTCATTTTCTCTGGTAAACTGACAAGACAAGACCTTTGTGGATCTGGAGATCTCCTCTGCTGAAGTGACAGACTCTGCTCTGTACTACTGTGCTCTGGAGCCCACAGTGACAGGAACCTGCCAACACTGTAAAAACAACTGCTATCTATTCCAGAGGAGGAGCTAAGCTAAGCAAACCACGGAGGATGGCATTTTAGTCTGCCACAGCGGAGTGGTACCTTGTGTGTTACTGATAGCGCTGCTGAACTTCAACCATCATGTTCCTCTATCCACTTTTATTCATTTCTGCACTTGTTGGTGAGTTTCTCAATGTTCATTATAGCCACTGTTTAAAAAAAGGTTCAAAATGAAAGAGTAACACTGATAGTGAGCTGCAGTTCGAAACGTCAAAATCCATTGACAATGTTAGTAAATAATGATTGTGGAGATGGATTTGTTCAAATACCTTAAAAATGAACAGAATCCAGTGCTCAGATTCAATATATTTTTCAGGTGGCGTTACCAAGATGAAGTTCAACCAACCACAAAGATAATGCATGGTGATGAGAGGCTTTGTTACACACTGTCTTGCAACTACTCTGGTTCACCATACAACCTCCAATGGTATCGACAGTATCCCAGATCAGCTCCCAAATTCCTACTTCTCACTAAAGTCTCATCAAGCCCCTCTGTAGTGAACGCTACTCCTCCATACCCACGACTGTCTTCTAACTGAATATGGAGATAGCCCGTATGGATCTGGAGATCTCCTCTTCTGATGTAACAGACTCTGCTCTGTACTACTCTGCGCCTTGCAGCCCACATGACAGGAAATCCAGAAACACTGTACAAAAACCTGACAGCTCATGATAGTCAGCCACCATTGTGCAATTTCTCCCACTTAAAAATATGAGAGACGCCTGTAATTTTCATCATAGGTACACGTCAACTATGACAGACAAAATGAGATTTTTTTTTTCCAGAAATCACATTGTAGGATATTAATGAATTTATTTGCAAATTATGGTGGAAAATAAGTATTTGGTCACCTACAACAAGCAAGACTTCGGCTCTCACAGACCTGTAACTTCTCTTTAAGAGGCTCCTCTGTCCTCCACACGTTACCTGTTAATGGCACCCCTTTTTTTTTTCTTTAAAAACCCCAAACCTGTGGGGGGGGGGGGGGGGGGGGGGGCGGGGGCTGGGGGCGGTCGGGTCGTTGTGTGGGGTTTTGGGTGTTGGGGTTTGTGGGTTTGTGGGTACCCACACCACAAAAAAAAACCCAAAAAAAACAAGAACAAACCCCAAAACCAACCCCCCTCCCACACCCCCCACCAACCACCCTGTTTTGTTTGGGTTTGGTTGGTTGGGGTGTTGCGTTTGTTTTTTTTTTTTCTTTTTTTGTTTTGTTCTTTTTCGTTGTTTATTCATGCATATTTCTTCTCTGCCACAGGTGTATTTAGAGGATGGTTTTACTCCAACCGCCCTGGGAAATTATGTAGAGGGTAGCAAGAGTTAGCTCTCCTGGAAACTAGCAGGGAATAGCAGATAGTCTGCTGTGGTATAGAAGTACTCTGGATTCAGGTCTCCAATTCCTTTACCTGGTCACAAACTACCAATAAGTCATATGAGTGAGAGGTGATCCACAAGAACCTTCAATGTCTGTTTAAACGAACAAGGAGAGAACCTGGGGGGATCTGAGATCATTCTACTGAAGTGACAGACTCTGATCGGTACTACGTGCTCTGAGGCCAAACGTGACAGGAAGGGAAGGAGAGGAGAGGAGAGGAGAGGAGAGCCGACGAGGAAGGAGAGGAGCGGGAGGATCGCGGAGAGGGAGTAGGAGAGGAGAGGAGAGGAGAGGCGCAGGAGAGTGATTTGAAGTTTGAGAGGAGCCAGGAGAAGAGGATTTGAGGAGAGATGAGCATCTTATAGAGCAAAACTGTACTTTGGGGTGGAGCTGAGGTAATAAGCAGAAATTATCAACAGAAACCCCATATTGCAGATTAGTGTTGGGAATACATCAGGTTATGTTGGAGATATTAGTCGTTTGGACTTCCACCACGCCCAGCCATGTTGTAATCTGGTCAATTATTATGTTATCAGTATAGCTGTCAGTTTTGGATTTCAAGTAGTGTCATGTTTTTTTTTGAAAATAAAAAGACATTTTTATTTCAATAAAAAAAATTATCTTAAGTTAATCCTCTTCCCATTTGCAGGAGGCAGTTACGAGCACAGGACATCGAGCCAAATCAACTGAAGTGTATGGAGTATGGAGTGTAGTTAATGCTATTCGTCTTTCCTTGCAACAACTTCCTCAGGTACAGGTGCTACTGTGGTCTAAACTTCATTGTATCCAGTGACTCAGCTCCCCATATTCTTATGCTCAGCATGCACTCAACTGGGATGGATATAGAGCTGATTCTTCCTGACTCTAACTTTCTCTGAGTCAAAACTTTTTTTTTTAACAAACGACAACCGACTTTGTGGATCTGGAGACTCCTCTGTGAAGGAAAGACTCTGCTCTGTACACTGTGCCTGGAGCCCACAGTGACAGGAAACCTGCCAACAACTGTAAAACACTGCTATCTATTCAAGAGGAGGAGCTAAGCTAAGCAAAACCACAGGAGGATGGCATTTTAGTCTGCCACAGCGGAGTGGTACCTTTGTGTTACTGATAGCGCTGCTGAACTTCAACCATCATGTTCCTCTATCCACTTTTATTCATTTCTGCACTTGTTGGTGAGTTTTCTCAATGTTCATTATAGCCACTGTTTAAACAAGGTTCAAAATGAAAGAGTAACACTGATAGTGAGCTGCAGTTCGAAACGTCAAAATCCATTGACAATGTTAGTAAATAATGATTGTGGAGATGGATTTGTTCAAATACCTTAAAAATGAACAGAATCCAGTGCTCAGATTCAATATATTTTTCAGGTGGCAGTTACCAAGATGAAGTTCAACCAACCACAAAGATAATGCATGGTGATGAAGGAGGCTTTGTTACACTGTCTTGCAACCTACTCTGGTTCACCATACAACCTCCAATGGTATCGACAGTATCCCAGATCAGCTCCCAATTCCTACTTCTCACTAAAGTCTCATCAAGCCCCTCTGTAGTGAACGCTACTCCTCCATACCCACGACTGTCTTCTAAACTGAATATGGAGATAGCCCGTATGGATCTGGAGATCTCCTCTTTCTGATGTAACAGACTCTGCTCTGTACTACTGCGCCTTGCAAGCCCACAGTGACAGGAAATCCAGAAACACTGTACAAAAACCTGACAGCTCATGATAGTCAGCCACCAATTGTGCAAGTTCTCCCACTTAAAAATATGAGAGACGCCTGTAATTTTCATCATAGGTACACGTCAACTATGACAGACAAAATGAGATTTTTTTTCCAGAAAATCACATGTAGGATATTTAATGAATTTATTTGCAAATTATGGTGGAAAATAAGTATTGGTCACCTACAAACAAGCAAGACTTCTGGCTCTCACAGACCTGTAACTTCTTCTTTAAGAGGCTCCTCTGTCCTCCACACGTTACCTGTATTAATGGCACCTGTTTGAACTTGTTATCAGTATAAAAGACACCTGTCCACAACCTCAAACAGTCACACTCCAAACTCCACTATGGCCAAGACCAAAGAGCTGTCAAAGGACACCAGAAACAAAATTGTAGACCTGCAACCAGGCTGGGAAGACTGAATCTGCAATAGGTAAGCAGCTTGGTTTGAAGAAATCAACTGTGGGAGCAATTATTAGGAAATGGAAGACATACAAGACCACTTATAATCTCCCTCGATCTGGGGCTCCACGCAAGATCTCACCCCGTGGGGTCAAAATGATCACAAGAACGGTGAGCAAAAATCCCAGAACCACACGGGGGGACCTAGTGAATGACCTGCAGAGAGCTGGGACCAAAGTAACAAAGCCTACCATCAGTAACACACTTCGCCGCCAGGGACTCAAATCCTGCAGTGCCAGACGTGTCCCCCTGCTTAAGCCAGTACATGTCCAGGCCCGTCTGAAGTTTGCTAGAGTGCATTTGGATGATCCAGAAGAGGATTGGGAGAATGTCATACGGTCAGATGAAACCAAAATATAACTTTTTGGTAAAAACTCAACTCGTCGTGTTTGGAGGACAAAGAATGCTGAGTTGCATACAAAGAACACCATACCTACTGTGAAGCATGGGGGTGGAAACATCATGCTTTGGGGCTGTTTTTCTGCAAAAGGACCAGGACGACTGATCCGTGTAAAGGAAAGAATGAATGGGGCCATGTATCGTGAGATTTTGAGTGAAAACCTCCTTCCATCTGCAAGGGCATTGAAGATGATACGTGGCTGGGTCTTTCAGCATGACAATGATCCCAAACACACCGCCCGGGCAACGAAGGAGTGGCTTCATAAGAAGCATTTCAAGGTCCTGGAGTGGCCTAGCCAGTCTCCAGATCTCAACCCCATAGAAAATCTTCGGAGGGAGTTGAAAGTCCGTGTTGCCCAGCGACAGCCCCAAAACATCACTGCTCTAGAGGAGATCTGCATGGAGGAATGGGCCAAAAATACCAGCAACATTGTGTGAAAACCTTGTGAAGACTTACAGAAATTGTTTGACCTGTGTCATTGCCAACAAAGGGTATATAACAATGTATTGAGAAACTTTTGGAATTAATTCAATCTTATATGTGGTTATAAAGTATTATCTATAATATATAATATTATGTTTTACAGGTCTCAGTTCTGAACAGGTATTAACACCCTATACTGATGTAGAAGTGGCTTCAGAAAGGGACAGAGTTTCTCTCTCTTGTAACTACACCTCTTCTGGTGTCAATCTTCTATGGTATCGGCAACATCCCAAATCAGCACCACAGTTAGTGGTTATGGAGTATGTGGATTATACACCAGGGTTCAGCCTAAATCATGATAAAAAGGCCAAACGTATGGATCTGGAGATCTCCTCTGCTGAGGTGACAGACTCTGCTCTGTACTACTGTGCTCTGAGGCCCACAGTGACAGGAAACCCAGACACACTGTACAAAAACCTAGAACATCTGATTGAGGGGAGAAAATTATCAACAGGCACATTAATTAATTTGTCCAAAACACTGAGGCCTAGATTCGATCAGAACAAGCACTTGCTGTGTCAGAGGTGTAACTGCGTTGTAGATGTCAAAGGAGCAGCTGCTCTTGATCGTTGTTACAAACCCTAACCTGGTCTGAGAGCATTTCATATTATTCTGTATGTAAATCCAAGACAATCCATTTAGTATGATATGTTATATTTCATATGGAATGTATTAATTTGTGGATGTCCATCATCAATTTTGTATGATAGGTTATGAATTACAATTCTAACCCTAACCCTGTCTTTGGCAGTAGGTTGAGTTACAAAATGTTATCCAATCAGCAAGACTGAAACATAGCAACAGAGAGAGATATTCAACTCTGCCTGTGTTGTTTGACGGCCCTAACGCAGTTCCACCTCTGACACAGCCAAAACAACCGCTATGTGGATATTGGCTAAAGTGGATCTGATTGAATAGTGCCCTAAACCCTTCTGTCCTAGCCAGAACCCTAGCCTAATGCGAGCTTCATGTCCACACCCCAGATCAATGCTAACCTTAGCCATAACCCTAAACCTAACCCTAACCCTAAATTCATGTCTAGATAAATTATTAATTTCATTTTTTTTCTTCATAATGCAGTATAATATGAATAGAGTAGTATTGTTAACAAATAATGAATGCATCAACCCTACAATGTACATGTAGTGTTGAGATAACGATGCTGAGATGCTGTGATGACAAGAAATCAGCTGACACTGTCTTGATTATAATAGTTTATTACATCTTCACTTTCAGTGTCAATTTACAGATTTCTGCAGAAAATTCGGATAACAACCAACCCAATCTCTAATATGTTGGTCCTCCCCGTCCTTTGTTTCAACCATGGTATATATATCCTATGTAACCTGATATGGGTGGTTTTCCCCCACAGACCAATCCCAGGACGCCACATAACAGACTTCCTCTGTTTTAAGGGGCCCCTATAGTAATGCTTTCCAGATGCTTCCACAAGCTGAGTCAACTTCCTCTAACACACCATTTGCAAACGTCAGCAAAGTCATAAATTGTTTAGACATTACATATTTCCCCCCTTCGAGACTAATTAAGTCTCGAAAACTAAAAGAATAGGATTATGACAAATAACAATTTCTCTTATTGAGTAACTTCAGCAATAAACCAAAATGTATGGAGAGTAAATACATTTCTATGAAATATGAACAAATCTTTATGGAGTGTAAATACATTTCTATGAAATATTAACAAATCTTTATGGAGTGTGAGAGCGAAAAACCTGTCTGGCAGCTTTCTTTCTAAATATCCATCAATCAATCAAGACAGTAAAATTCTCTCACGGCCCCTCTGCCCCAGGCAACCACCTAAGTACTCCAGATCAATTCACACATCTTTATCAATGCATTTTAAACTATGATGCAATTGAATACACATGAAAGCCTCAGAAAACAAAATACAATTAAAAATATCCACATTCAGGCTGGTCGACCCATCGGTCCCTCCTGTGGATTCTCTCTGTCCCTGCCTAGACCCAATATCCCTAAGCATCCACGAAATAAACAAAAACATCTGAGATCCCCACATGTACCCAACAACAGAAAATATAATTCTTCAAAAATTTATACAGAAAGAATATGACACAAATTATGTATTACACATGCAAATATGTCTATTTATCATTGCAGACACTGGAATGTAGTCCACTACACTGCATCTCCTCAGCAGTGTCGACTTTCAATGCAACGTCGATGATGGAATCTGAACATTTCCACACCTTCCTTGTTCCACTTCCTCCAGTCCATTCATATTGTCCATGTTTGAGTATTTGAATCCCCTCTACACATTCCCCCATATGCTTCTGGAAGAAAAGAAAATACCAACCAGTATCTTTTGCAAAACAACACATGCAAATTAAAACACGAATATCAACAATAATATAAAAATGATATATGAAATGAATCACATTCCATTTCCCCCTTTTGATTCATAAGAAAATAATAAATATTACAATAATATGTAAAAACGTGAAAAATGATCGGATATTCAAAATTGATATCTATCCATCAATACTCCTTTGAGTATTTGACAGAAGGTTAAACCCTCTTATCATTTCATTTGTAAAACCCTGCAAAGTATAGGTAATATTATCAATGTTATCTGCCAAAAATGTTACACCATACCATGGAAAAAGTCCAAGTCCCCACTTCTCTCCTAGACTTATCCTCCAATGGTAGGCTTGCAGACTATGACATTTCTTCATTTCCCTTTTCACCCTATTTCCAGACCTAGAATCAGATTTATCTCTGTCCAGTGCTTCCCCTCTTTTAATGGTAAAAACCTCATATGGAAGCTTCAACGTCAACATGTAACAACATCCTGTCCATCCATAGGGTAAGAATATATATGCTTTATCACCACAAACCCCACCAAATATCTCTAAAATTCCCAATAGTCACATTGCCATGCAAAAGCTGATCTTTCACCATCAAAGTCCTGCTCTTCTTACTAAAAGGAACATAAAAAGTTACATTATATTTCTCATTACTAACCTTACGTTCATGCATACCCAAAGTCATCATATAATCATCACAATCTGATATTCCCATAAACATACCCTTTCCATCATATGTTTTATTTTAACAAAAACAGCTCTTAGCCCTCACGGGTTTCACCTCCAATGCTTCAGGAATCGCTGTTAACTGATTTTCCTTCCGATCTAACAAATTCACATAGGGTAATTCATTTAACCAAGAACACTTAAACCTAGGCCTGAACAAATGCTTCAACAACGACATTATTATATCTGTTAATGATTGTTGCTGATACAACAGCCATGATAAAGCATAAGATTGTCACGTACTTGATAGAGGATTGAGCCACCGCCTCTAAGATTGAACCCCATGTGCCTGGTGCTGGAATTCTCAACAGACATGGACCCTCAAGATTCCTCACTGATCTTACAGAATGAGTTAACTGCTGGAACCATAGATTCCTACCTGCCCATCCATCTTTAATTTGCACAACAGAAGAATCAAATCCATATGCCTTCCATTTAGTTTCTCTCTTCCCTAACGAGCGGTATTGATCAGATATATCTTCTTGTCTTCCATCAAAATTAAAGAACTCATCCTTTACCTCCAGGATAGTATTCTGCACTATTTCAGATGAATCTACATCATTCTCTACTACCATCTGCTCTCCTATTTCAACACTATCCTTACTACCATTCACAGCACTCTCCATCCGTATCATAAACATCTGAGTCACTCTTACTACATCCTTTAGTTTCAGAAAAGTTGTTGTTGGTGTCTGTGTCACATTTCCTAAATGTATTATTGCCGTCGTAACATTAATCTCTTTCAAAGTTACTGTTAAAATAGTTGCTTTAGTTGATGTATTAACACTCTTAATTATTTCCAGTTGCAAAGTGACAGATGTCCTCTGTGTATTATTTACTGTTGGAGTGGCTACTGTAATATACTGCTCCTGAACTCCTTTGGTGACTGTGGAAACTTCAACAGACAAAATCTTCCATCATAAGCGTCACCTTACGAGGTACATAGCCTTTTAACCAATAATTCTTAACCGGAACAAATTTTAACACTGGCTCTAAATAAGTACACATATATTCTCCCTGATCTTCCCATGTAACATTACGCAAAATAAGTGAGCAATCACTCATAACCCTCTTCCACTTCATATCGTTGTACAAAATATAATTCCTTTGACTAGATGAAACAGCTTCTACTTCTGGTCCTGATAACAACACTTCTTCTCCATAATTATCTCTCCATGTGGGAGGAATGTCACCACCCCCACTCCTTCTCTCACATCTACAAGGAAGATGAGCTGTACCACCCATCCTAACCCTAATGACAGTCTTTTCTTCTAAAATTGGTGTTGGAGCGATTGTCTAAGGCTCCATTGTAATCAAATGTGATACATTTATAGCTTTAATAACTGTCAATGTTGAAAGAGTTGAATTGTTTCTCACTGTTGTTGTATTAGGCTGAAGTGTTGATGTCATTGTTGTTGATTCATCTATTTTCCCTACAGCTTTGAGCTCTTTACTTGTATTTCCATCTATCACCACTAGTCTCACTACATTAACTCAGTCCCAACTCTAATCCCTCACATTCAAACTGTGGATTATAAAAAATACATTTATAATCACCTTGATCATCCTGCTGGGAGTTGTACACATAGAGACTACAATCACCCTCAATCTTCATTCTTCTCTTATCATTCAGCAACGCATACTTTCTCAATGCAACTGCTCCTAACATATCTAAACTCCTACCATATCAATCTTCCCACTGAACTCTAAATGTCCCTTCACCACTGTTCTCTCTCTCATACACTTACATTGAAGCTGAGCTGACTGTCCTAGAGTTACTTCAACCCTAGTTTTTGGTCTGACTTTTCCCCAATTAAAAAAAAAAACATTTCACTGATTTATCCACAAATTCCTTCTCCCTCTAATTTGAGGATATTCCGATCGGGTAGGCCCCACCTGCTTATGACTTCTTTACACAAAAACTTGGCAAACGATTGAGCATATTTTAGCTTAGTTGGACATCCTATGCACCTCTTGGTGTAGGAATGTAACCAAGAATAACAGTCACACCCCTGCGAACATTATTTTTCAGACAGATTGTGCACCTTCCTATGACATAGTCAATCTGTTCAAGCAAATATGGTTCCCAAAATCCATACTCCTTTGTGATCTTTCTCCTAACCTCCCCCTTGCAACATTAGCTAACCCATAGCTTCCTAAATCATCAGACCTAATAGGTCTAGAGGCGCTACTATCAACCCCTCATGGTTTCTCCCAAGACAACAAACATTCTGGAACTTGTTGCAACATCTCCTCTTTCATAGGGTCTTAATCCATCTTCACACTGCAAATAGATTCATGTGTCATCCGTACAGCTTATGGCTCTCCTTGTCCTTGAGCCAAAATCATTATTTTGAGAAATCGCTGATCTTCACTCCTCCAAATCCCCAAATTCTCTTTAATCGGTACAAAAACAGCTTTCTCTGCTTCTGTCATCATTTCTCCTATTTGCTTCTGCTCATAGCCTTCAGAAACCAACAAGGTCACATGTGGCACACTCTTCTCAATCTCAAATTCTTTATCCAGATAATCGTCTGTGTTTATCGTCATAGCTGCTCCTTGTGGTCCTAAAATTATTCAACATGAGCTGAGTTGAACTTTCTTTTGTTGATGACTCAACCATTCCTCTGAGTTCGATTGGGCAGCATTCTTAAAATACTTGAGCATACAATGAAATGGATATTCCAGAAGCTTCGCATCTGGCATATTTTTCCACAATAACTTTCTCCCATATCTTAGCCTGCTTCAAAAAATCTTCACTGAGATTTCCAATCCAGAATACTGTAGAAGAATCCATCTCTGTCATCATCAACAACTGGTAAACCTTTTCCTTTGTCACTTCTACCAGACAGCCGTCTGGTGTACATTTTATTGTACAGTTCAACTTACACAATGCATCTCTTCCCAACAATGCAATAGGTGTATGTTCTGATACCAGTATGGGTATTGTAATTTTCTGATTTTTATAATAGAGCTCAATTTGTTTTACTACCTCAAATCCCTGTCCTAATTAGTTGATTGGACATAGTGAGATGTGTAACATCTTCAGGCCCAACACAGATAAAAGCAGCTCCGCTATCCACCATCACTTCCAATGGTCGGTTGTTTACTTTCACCTCAATTGTTGGATCTTTTTCCGGTCCTGATGCTACCAGCTGACACCCCCCTTTCGGATCTTCTGGGCACCCCTAGAATCCTTGCTCCAGGCCCCTATAAGGGTTCACCTGTCCTACAGATGATCTTGACTGGTCCCTGTATCTTCCTCTGAAATTTCCTCTGGTGTTTCCTCCAGGCCCATTACACTCACAGCAAAGTCACCAACCTGTCCACAATTATAACACACTTCTGAAGATTGCTGGAAGTATGGCTTAAATCTTCCTCCTCTTCCTCTTCCTAAGCCTTCTCATCCTCTTCCTCTCCAATTCTGTGTCTGTCCAGAAACTGTCTATGGATATGAAACAACTGGTACCGCTATTGGTGGCTGGTACACTTGCGGTTGGAACTGGTCCAGTTGAAGCTGTGGCAGTGATTGTTGATTTGGTGCACACTGATTCTTCATAACCAAAGCTTGTTTCTTCTCCTTCTTATTCTCCACCAGTTGTATTTGATTGAGTTTTCTGAGAGTTTCTTGGTCCTGTTCTTTCTGGTTGTGTTCCTTTTTCCTGTACAGATCCACTTGATGGGCTATATGATCTATATCTCTTTCTATTTATTCTGTGCTAGTCATTGTAGAATAAAATCCTCTTGAACATGAAGCACCTTTAATCTCCAAATCATCATCGCTTTCTCCATCTTCACTTTCATCAGAGATCGAATCTCTTACTTCTTCTTCCAACTTCCATCACCCCTTCTTTCCTCTCTTGCCAACCTCCATCTGATCACAGGGTCATATCCACCCATGATCTCTTCTGAATCACTCTGATCATCATCATCATAATCTTCAAGTTCCATCCTCCTGAACCTCACTCCACACTTAGTTTCCAGGCATCTCATTTTCTTCTTACTTTTGGAGTTTTGATTCATCTTTATGGTCGTTTCTGCTTTTCCTCTCTCTATTATACAAGCACTTTCATTATGTTGATGACGTCAGGGTTAAGAGTCCCTTCCACTGGCCATGGTTGTTCAATGTCAGGCCAACGTTTATTCCATTTTCCAGATAACCTTGCAATACCATTAACTAGAGGATTACTATTTTCTACTACATCAACAGGAGTAATGCCTTTCATAGTTTTGATGTCCTTTTTCCCCATTGTAACAACTCTTCTATATTCCTTTATTGTGAATTATTTTATTATTATTATTTTAAACCAATTAATTTGTAAACCAAAAATACTTTAGACTATGTAGCTTATGTTTGCCTCCTTTTTTTTCTTCCCCCCAAAATTAATTAATTAATTAATCAATTAATTCATTAATTTATTCATCAATTAATTAATTTATTTATTTATTTTACCAAATTATTGATCAGTGGCAATCTTACCACATCCGATCAGGAAACGTAAATGAAAGTAGTCAACTTCAGAGCAATCCAAAAAAGAAAGACCTGTAATCCAGCAACACTACAGCACTCACAAACCAATTGCTTAATAAGCACCCAATTACCTTAATTTGACAGAATAATGTCAGTGCTGGATTTCCAACACAACTCTAATCAAACCAACTCATTCACAAAAAACTCCAATGTGCAATTCTTAATTACATGAATTGATCAGTCTGTTGCCAAGTCCTTGTCAAATTGTTACAACATGAAATATGCTAGGCACACACAATATCCTCTATGGGAAGGGAAGTTTTTTGAACAGAACAGTACTAGCCTTGATTGGACTGGATCCGTTGCAGCACACACTGTCGCGTGACACACTCGTCAGCACCTCCTCTCTCTCTCTCTCTGTCTCCTCCTTCTCGTCTCTCATATGACAGAAGAACAAAGAACACAGACAATAATTTAGTATTTTATGCACTCACTGGGTTATTTCAACCATACAATACCCTTTTAGTCATACCTATGTTCACACTCGCGCTAAGAAATAAGCAAACAGCTTAACTCAGGAATATTATAAATAGCTCAATAACATTTTGTTTTATTTATTTATTTAATTTTTATTTATTTTAATCCGTCAACATATCTCTCATTTATAAATTCAATAGATCTCAATCAAATAGTTTCATCGTTAAGCAACAGCCGCTTTAACAAACAGAATACTTTATTTGTGTGTAAATATCCCCCTCCTTCTCTGTCTGCTCTGAGTCTGTGTCTCCCAGCAGCTCAGTGCAGGCAGAGGAGTGGCATATTTGCTCTACGTAACTCTAAACTCATAAAATCCCACACATGCGCAGTTCATTCACCAGTGCGATTTCAGAGTGAGAAGAGCTCCCAAGCAGCTCTCTCCAAGCTAAACAACAGAAAGTAGACAGACCAGCTGTCCCTCCGTTATTTCCCCAACACAGACAAACAGTAACACTTAACAGAACTCACAAACCAACACAGAACATAGAACACAAATCCTACTTCGAAGTTTCTTATCTTTACTTATCCTAATCTGCAGATTTATAGTTATTTTCTTATCCATTACAAAACATCTATATACACTCTTAAAATCCTCCCTGTAGGCTCCTAGTCTTTTAACAGTTATTAAACATTCTCTTTTTATAGAGACTCATAAGATTTTAACCTTAACTAACATATTTCCTTACAAAAAACTAAAACCCCTGTTGTCATAGCCTTAGTCGACACACAGCAGAGACCTCCCCTTTTTTTCACACACACACACAGGCTCTCTTTTCTCACACACACACACAATTCAAGAGGAATGTATCCGTTCCTACGGTCCTCTAAAGCATGCTACCGTCGTTCCTTATTTCTCATTGTTCCTACATTTCTGCTACCTCGAGTTTGCAGATATCCAATGAGAGGTTACTTCGAACATATACCTCGTCAACTATAAGTCGAGGGGTAACTTGCAACCGAATGTATCTACCACAATCTCCAGTCCCCAGAACTGACCTTAAAAATCAACCTAGTGAGTTTTCAGGATTTTCGGCCCATCGTAATGATCACCTCATTTGAGGGCTTTCCATAGATCAACGACGTCCTACTTAGTATACATTTTTCCTTAGTTCCTGGCCTTTCTATTCTTTTTCCCTTTAATTTTTATTCAAGCCAAATATCCCTGTGCCAAGTGTTATCAATTCCTATAGACACTCCCCCCTGTTTGCGTTGCTTTCAACGCAAACAAATTTAGAAATTTAGAACGGAACCTTATCACACAGCAAATAACAGCAAAGCGCACACATAAGTCCTTTGACGGTGCAGTCTTTCAACCCACACACACACACAAGCACACGAACTGACCAGCGCCCAAAGTTTGTGAGAAAGCTCACTGTATCTGCATGCCTCTTGAGCGGGAGTCAGCTCGGCGCCCATGAATGGAACGCTGAGAAAAGACGCAACACGGCCCAAATTCCTCCTCGCCATTAATGTAGTGTCGAGATAACGATGCTGAGATGCTGTGATGACAAGAAATCCGCTGACACTTTCCTTGATCATAATAGTTTATTACATCTTCACTTTCAGTGTCAATTTACAGATTTCTGCAGAAAATCCGGAGAACAACCAACCCAATCTCTAATATGTTGTCCCTCCCCGTCCTTTGTTTCAACCATGGTATATATATCCTATGTAACCTGATATGGGTGGTTTTCCCCCACAGACCAATCCCAGGACGCCACATAACAGACTTCCTCTGTTTTAGGGGGCCCCTATAGTAATACTTTCCAGATGCTTCCACAAGCTGAGTCAACTTCCTCTAACACACCATTTGCAAACGTCAGCAAAGTCATAAATTGTTTAGACACTACATACATTAAACAAGCATTGCATGGCACACACAGAAACAAAGCTTGTTGTCCACCACCCGCTGTGTTTTGGCAGTAGCTGGAGCTACAACATTTTCTCAAATCATCAAGACTGAAAGATTGCTACAGAGAGAGATATTCAACTCTGCCTATATTGTGTCAGAGTCTTTTTGATACTGTGTCTATCAGCTGTGTTGCTGCTTTCATCATTTCTCCTCCTCTCAGTTCTTGTTGGTGAGTGCTGTATTCAATTTGACAGTTTTAATTTATACACCAGAATGTATTTCAAAGTTGTCAAAAATACAATTATATTTCAGATTTGAGTATCACTAAATTGTGTTATGGTAATGAGAAGGGAAAAGGAATTATCAACAGACCAAAAATACAAAAAGAACAGCATGTTTTTCCTTTTCTAGCAGATCTGGAGATCGTCTCGACTGAAGTGACAGACTCTGCTCTATACTACTGTGCCATGGATCCCACAGTGACAGGAAACACTTCCTCATACAAAAAGCTGACAGTCTGACACAAAGATGTGGGATGTAGGATTTTTGTTTAGAATTCACTTAATCCTTATCAACATACAATATTATACCATTCTTACCAATAAGGTTTATTTGCAGATTATTCATATGGTATAGCATGGTATAGTATTGTGGATCTATAAAAAAAAAAAAAAAACTTTCCAAGCCATGGATCTGGAGATCTCCTCTGCTGAAGTGACAGACTCTGTTCTGTTATACTGCGCTTTGTAGCCCACAGTGACAGGAAACACTTCATCATACAAAAAGCTGACAGTCTGACACAAAAATGAGGGATGAACAAACAAACAAAAACAGCAGCAAAAACAAGACATTTTCAGACAGAAATGAGGTCTAAAATAATCTGAGGCCAATAAGAGCTGAAAACCCTTAACCACAAACCACAGAAGAAGAGTTACATATCCAGTTATCAGAAGAGGGGCCTCATAGTCAAACACTGGTATAGGCTGGGTATACCTGCAGACATGAGGATGTCTCTGTAGAGGATCTACTCAGCTCCCTCACTGTCTTATCTCTCAGTTGGTTTATCTAGTCTGTGTCAGGATGTCACTCACATTACTGTTGCTCCTCTCTGTGTTTGTAGGTGAGTGCTGAATTCTCAGTTTAAACCAAATAACATTTTGAATACGAGATTGCTTTTGTCAATGAATTATTGCATTAAACACTAAGTTGCATTTTACTGGAAAGTTTCAATTCTTTCTCTTGTCATAATTTATGGGCACCTAATCCATGCCTTTTTTCTCATTAGGAATCAACATTAACACAATTACTATACTTATTTGTTGCAGCTGATAGTACAGAGCAGGAAACAATAACTCCAGTGAAGCCTGAAGTCAATGTTCTCCAAGGAACAGACATCACTCTCTCCTTCAACTACAACGGCAATGTTAACAATCTCCAATGGTACCGTCAATACCCTGGATCTAGACCAGAATGTCTTCTTTTGATCCTACAAACATACAAGTATATACAGAATACATCATTTACAACTCCACGACACACTGGTAGACTGAATGAAGAGAAGACCTGTGTTCACTTCATGATCTCCTCTGTTGAATTGGAAGACTCTGCTCTGTACTACTGCGCCTTGCAGCCCACAGTGACAGGAAACCCAGACACACTGTACACAAACCTGTCAAGATCCTTGTGGATAAACAGTGTCTTGGTGGAGACATTGTATTCTGATAGATCAGTTATTATTTAGAGTACATTATTACTAATATTTCCCTGCATTTCCACATCAACTGAAAAAGAAGAAATAATACGTATTTGATATAAATATTATTCAGGAAATAATACTATATATTGTCTGCATCTTCCTGTTGTGATATAACATGATCAAAGATACTAGTCTGAATAAATACAAAATGAAGAACATTTTTTGTATTGTTTTGTTCCTTAGAGCAGGGGTTCCCAATTATTTATTTCAGGTAGCATTTACGAGGAGGAAATAATATCAGCCACAACTGAAGAGCGTATTTATGAGAGTGATGGTTTTACTCTGTCCTGCAACTACACTGGCTCTTACAGTACTGATACTTTACTGTGGTATCAACAATACCCCAGATCAAAACCAGATTTTCTGCTTCTCCTCAATGAAGGAGGGTTAAAGACACATAATGAATCGACCCACCCTCGACTGTCTGTTAAATTGACCCATGTGGATCTGGAGATCTCCTCTGTTGAAGTGACATACTCTGCTCTGTATTACTGTAATAATAATAATAATATGCCATTTAGCAGACGCTTTTATCCAAAGCGACTTACAGTCATGAGTGCATAAATTTTTTGTGTATGGGTGGTCGTGGGGATCGAACCCACTACCCTGGAGTTACAAGCGCCGTGCTCTGCCAGCTGAGCTACAGAGGACCACCTCTGAAGCCCACAGTAACAGGACACCCAGAAACACTGTACAAAAACCTGACAAAATACAGTATACTGTAGGAAAAAAGCCATAACAGAAAACATTTAATGTTGGTGTCAAGAGGAGGGGCTGGATAATCAAAGATCCACATGTAGCTTATGGGATACAAATAACATTTGTAGTGAAAATATGTCAATCATTATTTGAATATGTTGGTAACCCATTGTATAAAAGTGAAAATGCCCTGGAAGTTGTTGTTTGGAGGATATATTGGCACGAGACGAACACTCTCGGGCATTATCACTTAATTATTGCTCTCAACATGGACCTGCTCAGCGGTCTGGTCCTCTGGCGGTAAATCCATGTACTGCACTCTTTAGAGGAGCAAAAACATAGCTAAAGCTACCTAACTGTCTGTTATGGGCCAGGCAAACATAAAAAGGCTCTTACACTGTTTTGGTCTGGGTCACTAGATATGAAAAGGAATTAAAGTTTGCACATGTATTGTCGTGTACCATGGTGTGGATGTAACTCTTAACTCCTCCTTCCTCTGCTGGCTGCGACGTCTCTCAGCTCTCTTCCTCTTGTTGCTCTTCCTGTCCCGTCGACTCTCCGTCTTCTTGGACTCCTGCTCTCTCCATCCCAGAACCTGTTGTAGCTCGGCGGGGGTGAGAGTTACATCCATCCCATGGTTCACGACAGAATAATAATTCATTATTCATGTGAGGATATAGTGGCTTTATTCTCAGAACTTCCTCAACATTTAAATGCGGTCAGCAATGTGTAGGTAGAGTATAAAGGGTCTTTCTTTATATTTACCCACAAACAGCCGTTTCTGCAGCTCCTGGCTGATCTTCAGGTGAGGTACCTTCTTATCCTACATGTGCTGCCCACTACACCTTCTGAAGGATGGGTTAATCAGGCCCAAGTGAGTCAGGTGGCTCATCCACTGCTCCTCCCTCTCCAACCACTACTGAGATGTTCTCTCTGCCTCCTGATCAGTTATATGACAGATCTTCTTTGTCTGTGCTCCTCCTTTAGACTGCCCTCCACAGTTATGGTTTTTCTATGTATAATAATGACAGAATAGTTCCATCTAGTGTTCAACATTCTGCCCAACAAGATGAAACCTTGACATTGCTTGTATTTTCAAGAGTAAGTTACTAGTGAGAGTCAATAGGTGTCAGTGGAGTCTCATCAATTTGCTCCTATTCCTTCAAAATGATGCATGCAGCATGTCAACACTTTACAGGTGTCTGTGTTGTATAATTTCCCCCACCAAACAGAATATACATTCATTATGTTTTAACCCTTTCTTGTCACAATTGCATATTCTGTTTCTGCTTCTTGTATTAACCATTTGCATTTATTTTATATGAACAGACTGAACAGACTGTGGTTTTCCAAAGTGCATTCAGGCAGAGTCAACCGTATTCAACTGTAAATTGTGTAGAACAATATATAATATAGGGCTTACAAAACAATTTAATATATTCCCTTGAGGCATTTACTTTAAAGGATGAAGCAGTACATCAGATACATACAACACACTTCAATAAAATCAACACTTGAGATGTAATTAATTGTAAGAGTGCATTTAATAACTATAATAGTATAAAAACAGTGCCAAGGGTTGGTCAAGGTTAAGGTCGGCTCTAGCCCAATTCTAACACTACCTTCTTGTCCACCTACTGAATTGACCATGACCCTAGAATTAACCCTAACCCTAGCTTCAGTTGGCACAAATAATGAAAAACATTAGGAGAAGCAGGATTATGAGGAAGGCAGTTTTCTACTTGATTAACTCCAGGCAGGAGTGAGAGGTTGAATTTATGGACCAAATCGAGAGACAACAATCAATGCGTAATAGGCTACATGGTGATGCCATTGACCATCATTTACGTTAATGTGCACTGCGATGACAGAGATTACGATCATGGTTGCATCCCTTGTCAATCATTGGTATCAATCATAAAACAATCATTAGTTGACTCTACTACTGTTTTAAATGCATTGTAAAGATAACTCTTTGTGGCATTGGTCAGCATAGCCAAGGTCTATATTGGACTGGTTCATAGGCTACAGTGGTCTGGGCCTTTCTTTCTGATTTTGTTACAAACCCTTGCTGGATATATTATTTTATTTTATTCGTCAGAGGAGCTCAATTTGGCCTGAACATAAAATATATTTCTCCAAGGCCCATAACAACTACCAAATTATAATTTTGAAAGGACTTGGAGAAGAAGGTAACATTCTTTAAAGGAGACATTTCATGGTACCAAATACAGTGGGGGAAAAAAGTATTTAGTCAGCCTCCAATTGTGCAAGTTCTCCCACTTAAAAAGATGAGAGAGGCCTGTAATTTTCATCATAGGTACACGTCAAATATGACAGACAAAATGAGGAAAAAAAATCCAGAAAATCACATTGTAGGATTTTTTATGAATTTATTTGCAAATTATGGTGAAAAATAAGTATTTGGTCAATAACAAAAGTTTCTCAATACTTTGTTATATACCCTTTGTTGGCAATGACACAGGTCAAACGTTTTCTGTAAGTCTTCACAAGGTTTTCACACACTGTTGCTGTTATTTTGGCCCATTCCTCCATGCAGATCTCCTCTAGAGCAGTGATGTTTTGGGGCTGTCGCTGGGCAACACGGACTTTCAACTCCCTCCAAAGATTTTCTATGGGGTTGAGATCTGGAGACTGGCTAGACCACTCCAGGACCTTGAAATGCTTCTTACGAAGCCACTCCTTCGTTGCCCGGGCGGTGTGTTTGGGATCATTGTCATGCTGAAAGACCCAGCCACGTTTCATCTTCAATGCCCTTGCTGATGGAAGGAGGTTTTCACTCAAAATCTCACGATACATGGCCCCATTCATTCTTTCCTTTACACGGATCAGTCGTCCTGGTCCCTTTGCAGAAAAACAGCCCCAAAGCATGATGTTTCCACCCCCATGATTCACAGTAGGTATGGTGTTCTTTGGATGCAACTCAGCATTCTTTGTCCTCCAAACACGACGAGTTTTTACCAAAAAGTTATATTTTGGTTTCATCTGACCATATGACATTCTCCCAATCCTCTTCTGGATCATCCAAATGCACTCTAGCAAACTTCAGACTGGCCTGGACATGTACTGGCTTAAGCAGGGGGACACGTCTGGCACTGCAGGATTTGAGTCCCTGGCGGCGTAGTGTGTTACTGATGGTAGGCTTTGTTACTTTGGTCCCAGCTCTCTGCAGGTCATTCACTAGGTCCCCCCGTGTGGTTCTGGGATTTTTGCTCACCGTTCTTGTGATCATTTTGACCCCACGGGGTAAATCTTGCGTGGAGCCCCAGATCAAGGGAGATTATCAGTGGTCTTGTATGTCTTCCATTTCCTAATAATTGCTCCCACAGTTGATTTCTTCAAACCAAGCTGCTTACCTATTGCAGATTCAGTCTTCCCAGCCTGGTGCAGATCTACAATTTTGTTTCTGGTGTCCTTTGACAGCTCTTTGGTCTTGGCCATAGTGGAGTTTGGAGTGTGACTGTTTGAGGTTGTGGACAGGTGTCTTTTATACTGATAACAAGTTCAAACAGGTGCCATTAATACAGGTAACGAGTGGAGGACAGAGGAGCCTCTTAAAGAAGAAGTTACAGGTCTGTGAGAGCCAGAAATCTTCCTTGTTTGTAGGTGACCAAATACTTATTTTCCACCATAATTTGCAAATAAATTCATTAAAAATCCTACAATGTGATTTTCTGGAATTGTTTTTCTCAATTTGTCTGTCATAGTTGACGTGTACCTATGATGAAAATTACAGGCCTCTCTCATCTTTTTAAGTGGGAGAACTTGCACAATTGGTGGCTGACTAAATACTTTTTTTCCCCACTGTATATCACATTTAAAAAGGAATCCCTTTGGCAGTTCAACTAAACAATTGAATATACCATAAGCTCCTCCCCTACTGCAGAGCCCAACTATTATGAGACTTCTCAGCTACAGTGGATGGAACATAACATCTATAACAGTCTATTCTTACTCTATACATTAATCACAATGGCACATTGGCTTAGGAATACTGTACTTATCCTGGCTGCATGCTATTTTGGTACAGTATAGTGCTTCTCCTTTCTACATTCTCATTCTCTGAAATATTTATTTTTCAGATTGCAAAGGTGAAGAGTCTGTTGACCAGCAGAGTGGACATGTTACTGCCCTTGAGGGATGACTGGTAACACTCAGCTGTAACTACACTAGCAGTAGTCCATCTCCTGATCTCTTCTGGTACATCCAGTTAACTAGGGACTCTCCTCAGTATGTCCTGAGAAGAGATTGTTATTCAGAAGGGAGCAATAGTGATGAGTTCAAGAAGAGGTTTGATTCCAGGCTGAATTTCACATCTATCTCTGTCCCCTTGATGATCCAGAGGTTGCAGCTGTCTGACTCTGCTGTGTACTATTGTGCTCTAAGGTCCACTGTGACAACAGGATGGACAGCTCCCTTACAAAAATAATTTGATAGTGTGATAAAAGACTCTTAGAGGGCCTAGTTTAAGCTCCTCCTCAATACTTCCTATAAGAGAGTTAAAGCATTCAAAGACACATACAAGTGTGTTTGCTCTCTCCTCAGCTACCCATCTCACAGTAGACATGGAATCTTGGCTGAAGAATATTTTGATTCTTGCTGCTTTTTGTTGTGGTATGATTGATAACTATTATTTTATTTATTTGCTTACTGACATTGCATAAATGATCCCTTTCTGTTGTCATGTAAAATAGAGAAAGTTGCAGACTCTATATGCTCCCAATGATTTCATGGGTATAAATCATCAAAAACACCCTTTCTTTTTTCAACTTATTTTTTATTTCTCTCCAGAATGCAGAGGAGACAGTGTGTCACAGCCAATAGGAGTTGAGACTGCTACCGAAGGAGGACAAATAACACTTACCTGTCATTACAAAGCAGACGATCCAGGTCCATATCTATTCTGGTACAAACAGCGAGCTAACGACTACCCCAAGTATATGCTTATGCGGCAAAAATTTGGAACGGGAGACAATGCTACTGAGTTCAAGGAGAGATTTCATGATGATCTAGATGCCAACTCCAAATCAGTCCCCTTGATGATCCAGAGGGTGCAGATGTCTGACTCTGCTGTGTACTACTGTGCTCTGAAGCCCACTGTGACAACAGGATATACAGCCCCCTTACAAAAACTATCGTTTTTTCATGTGCCCATAGAAACATACAGTACCAATGAAAAGTTGCGACCAAAGCACAATATGTATTTTAATATACTTTATGTACAATAGTAGACCTGAATTAGATACTCTGTAGGCTGCATGGGTTAGGGTTATAATAGAATTATAATAGAATATGTGTATGTTTTTAAACTATTTTCTTTCAGATAAATTAATCATACTCACTTCATACAACATTTAAGTCATTGTCAATTCCTCTAGGGTATTTTCCGTTTCATGTGAGCTAGACATGTAGGCTTTACACTTTGTCTATTGTACTGCAAAAGAGTGCTAATATAAAATTGATGAGGAAATATTGACCCATAGATTTCCAGTCAATCTTACCCCTCTCTGAACAGGCTCCTCCTTCATGTCTGTCAGTTGATGGTGATATACAGGCTGAGATGGACATGGAAGAGAGAGAAAGGATCTCTACCTCTTACTGTAACTCACAGTCACTCTCTTTGTGTTCTGCATAACCATGGTACTCTGTCTGATCATCTGGCTGGTTCTTGCTGTATTGCAATTTGGTATGATGGAACTTTTTCTCTCATTGCTGTCTGACTCTGCTGTGTACTACTGTGCCCTGCAGCCAACAGTGTCAGGAAACCTGTGCACACTGTACAAAAACCTAAAACGGAATAAAACTGACGTCCCCTAGACATCAACTCATTTTGAATTTCATAATTACCGTGTATAGACAAAACATACTCTACATACACTGAAAATGAGCAAAAACATTTTTTTCGATAAACAATAAAAAATAAAAAATAAATGTTGAATGTAAAAGTGACAGAAACTCATTAAGGCTATCTGATTGTGTTGCTGATTTATACTTCATATTTTAGATTAAAATAGGAAAACAAAATAAACTGTGAATGAATGAATTGCCTCATTTTGAACAAATTAATATCTTGCATCAAGCAATGTGTACCCTATGACATCACTGTAACTCCGTTATCCTAAAATCAAGAAAATACATGGAGATAAATAACACAGTTTTATCCAATATCTAACAGAGGGAGACTAAGGTAATCATATTTCAGTGCAGCCCTGCATTTTGAGGATGTGACAGTGGCATCAAGCAGCAGCAAGAAGTCTGCTGTTACTTCTGCTCATCTGACAACTCTCTGTATTTTGGGGTGGGGCTTCAAAGGTTTGAGAAGAGGTGGTCCATTCAAAACTATACGTTTTTTAGTATACACAAATCTTGTTGTGTTGTGTGTTATCATTTTAACTTCCAGTTTCAGCCACAATGTCAACCCCCACATTTATTTTGCTTTTAGGACTTGCATGTAAGTAATCAACTATAATTAGTCAATTTTTTGTGCCGTTATTTTGAATCTAAACTAAGTGTTGATGAGTTGAAAATAGATCTATAACAGAGTAATAATAGAAGAATAACATATTTTGCATCTCTTGCAGGTGACAGTAATGGTCAGACCTGCTTATCCTGGAAATCTTATCCTGCTTTTCATGGATGGTGCTGGTTCTACATCACGGGCTCCAGGTCTGGATCCACGACTGTCAGTCAATCTAAATGATGAGAAGAACCGTGTGGATCTGAAGATCTCCTCTGCTGAAGTGACAGACTCTGCTCTGAGGCCCACAGCGACAGGAAACCCAAACACACTTTACAACAAATGTACAGAAGCAGGGGATAACAATGCTTGTTGTGAACTGTTTCAGATCTAATTATTATCTGTCAGTTCCAACTCAGGTTGACAACACCTTAACACTTAACGAAGTCCACAGTATCAATCAATACCATTTAAATCAACAAGATATACAGTATAACTCCCTATCTTCTATAGAGGGCCTCAACTCAGCACTACATAAACCTCTATTTCTCTGAGCAGGTGACTCCTCCTCCTGACAGTGGAGGTAGTTGCATTGCAAGACAGACAGACAGCAGCCATACATTACATATACATTTTAGAATGATTTTTTTGTTCTCCAGAAAATCACATTGTAGGATTTTCTATGAATATATTTGCAAATTATGGTGGAAAATAAGTATTTGGTCAATAACAAAAGTTTCTCAATACTTTGTTATATACCCTTTGTTGGCAATGACACAGGTCAAACGTTTTCTGTAAGTCTTCACAAGGTTTTCACACACTGTTGCTGGTATTTTGGCCCATTACTCCATGCAGATCTCCTCTAGAGCAGTGATGTTTTGGGGCTGTCGCTGGGCAACACGGACTTTCAACTCCCTCCAAAGATTTTCTATGTGGTTGAGATCTGGAGACTGGCTAGGCCACTCCAGGACCTTGAAATGCTTCTTACGAAGCCACTCCTTCGTTGCCCGGGCGGTGTGTTTGGGATCATTGTCATGCTGAAAGACCCAGCCACGTTTCATCTTCAATGCCCTTGCTGATGGAAGGTTTTCACTCAAAATCTCATGATACATGGCCCCATTCATTCTTTCCTTTACACGGATCAGTCGTCCTGGTCCCTTTGCAGAAAAACAGCCCCAAAGCATGATGTTTCCACCCCCATGATTCACAGTAGGTATGGTGTTCTTTGGATGCAACTCAGCATTATTTGTCCTCCAAACACGACAAGTTGAGTTTTTACCTAAAAGTTCTATTTTGGTTTCATCTGACCATATGACATTCTCCCAATCCTCTTCTGGATCATCCAAATGCACTCTAGCAAACTTCAGACAGGCCTGGACATGTACTGGCTTAAGCAGGGGGACACGTCTGGCACTGCAGGATTTGAGTCCCTGGCAACGTAGTGTGTTACTGATGGTAGGCTTTGTTACTTTGGTCCCAGCTCTCTGCAGGTCATTCACTAGGTCCCCCCGTGTGGTTCTGGGATTTTTGCTCACCTTTCTTGTGATCATTTTGACCCCACGGGGTGAGATCTTGCGTGGAGCCCCAGATCGAGGGAGATTATCAGTGGTCTCGTATGTCTTCCATTTCCTAATAATTGCTCCCACTGTTGATTTCTTCAAACCAAGCTGCTTACCTATTGCAGATTCAGTCTTCCCAGCCTAGTGCAGGTCTACAATTTTGTTTCTGGTGTCCTTTGACAGCTCTTTGGTCTTGGCCATAGTGGAGTTTGGAGTGTGACTCTTTGAGGTTGTGGACAGGTGTATTTTATACTGATAACAAGTTCAAACAGGTGCCATTAAGACAGGTAACGAGTGGAGGACAGAGGAGCCTCTTAAAGAAGAAGTTACAGGTCTGTGAGAGCCAGAAATCTTGCTTGTTTGTAGGTGACCAAATACTTATTTTCCACCATAATTTGCAAATAAATCATTAAAAATCCTACAATGTGATTTTCTGGATTCTTTTTTCTCGATTTGTCTGTCATAGTTGACGTGTACCTATGATGAAAATTACAGGCCTCTCTCATATTTTTAAGTGGGAGAACATGCACAATTGGTGGCTGACTAAATACTTTTTTTCCCCACTGTAGCTTGGATGCTTGACTGTCATTGTGAGGTCAGAACTTTCGGATCAACCCTACTCATTGGCCAGAGCATCCAGTGTACGCTCTGAATGTGAAACGCTCTGAATTTACAATGGACAATCTGACAGCACAGTTGCAGTCACCAACACTCTGGATAACATGACAGCCTAACCAGCTCTGCTAGGGCGAGTAATGTTCAGTGAGCTGTTCTCTCTCACTTAGATGTCTGGAAGTAGCTAGCAAGTTAGTACAGAACGCTCGGATCAACCCTTAAAGAGATGAGTGGGGCTAAAACTTAAGAGGGTGTGAACGATGCTGAATGGGTGTAGACAGAGAAGAGCCCTCCAATAGTAGTACCAAAACATTCAAAGGCCATTTTCTCAGAAGTGAGTTTACAAGTTTATCAACTTTCAAAGCAAAATTACTTTCCCATTGTTCCTCAACTGTAGTGTATGAGATACAATTTTGTAGCTCATAGTCTCTAATTTCATCCAATGTAAAAAACACAATTACACAAATGTTGCTACATTAGACTGTTTTGAGCCGGTTGGTCACATATGGTATTATCAATATCAAGTGGTAATACACTTTTAAACACCAAGTGTGGATATACTGCTGTCAACATTGACTCTGTAATCCATGTTGTTCTTTTTTACAGGTACAAGTGTTGAAGACATAATTACTCCAGACAGTGATGTAGTGGATGTTATGGAGGGTAGTAGTGTTAAACTCTCATATAGATACAACAGCTCAGTAACCAACAGTATGTTATGGTACTGCCAGCACCCTGGATCCTCTCCACAGTTCCTCATACTCGACTACTCTGGGATGATAACCAACACCGATAGTACAAAATGGACCCTCACACATGAAAAGGAGGACAACCATGTGGATCTGGAGATCTCCTCTGCTGAAGTGACAGACTCTGCTCTGGACTACTGTGCTCAGCCCACAGTGACAGGAAACCCAGAAAAAAGTATAAGTTAAATGAAATAAAATACGAAAAACTGCAACAATTGCACTGTATTCATTTCAAGCTTTTTTCTTCATAATGCTGTATAACATAAATGGAGTAGTATTGTTAAAAATAAATGAATGAATCAATCCTACGATGTACATTAAACAAGGATTGCATGGTACACACATAAACTAACTAACATAAACTAAACTTAATTTGTAAGTCGCTCTGGATAAGAGCATCTGCTAAATGACGTAAATGTAATAAACAAATTTGGTTATTCACCACCCCCTGTCTTTGGCAGTAGATGACGCTACAACCTTTTCTCCAATAATTAAGACTGAAAGATTGCTTCAGAGAGAGATATTCAACTCTGCCTGTGTTGTGTCAGAGTCTTTTTGCTACATTTACATTTTAGTCATTTAGCAGACGCTCTTATCCAGAGCGACTTACAGTTAGTGAATACATTTTTTTTTTTTATACTGGCCCCCGTGGGAAACGAACCCACAACCCTGGCATTGCAAACACCATGCTCAATCAACTGAGCTACATCCCTGCCGGCCATTCCCTCCCCTACCCTGGACGAATTGTGCGCCACCCATGAGTCACCCGGTCGCGGCCGGCTGCGACAGAGCCTGGATTCGAACCAGGATCTCTAGTGGCACAGTTAACACTGCGATGCAGTGCCTTAGACCACTGCGCCACTCAGGAGACACCGTATCTATCAGCTATGATGCTGCCTTCATCATTTCTCCTCCTCTCAATCCTTGTTGGTGAGTGTTGTATTCAATTTCATCATTTTAATTCCAACTCCAGAATATATTTAATAGTTGTCAAAAAAGCTATCAACAGCAACATGTTTTTCCATTTCTGACAGGTGTCAGTTTTGAAGATGACATTAATCCCACTAGGTCTATGGTAGGTGTTGTGGAGGGTGATTCCATCACACTATCCTGCAGCTACACTGGCTCTGTAAACAATCTACAGTGGTATCATCAGTATCCTAGGTCTAAGCCAGAGTTCCTGATTCTCATCACTAAATCAGGATATGTCCAGAAACCTGTCCCTCTTCACCTGTCATCTCAGGTTCATACTGACCGTGTGGATCTGGATATCTCCTCTGCTGAAGTGACAGTCTCTGCCCTGTACTACTGTGCTGTGAAGTCCACAGTGACAGGAAACATAACTTGATCATACAAAAAGCAGACAAGACACCCAGATGAGGGATAAAGGCTTTGTGTTTGAATTGAACTTCATCCTTATCAACAGTGAAAAAATATTAAACCATTCTTATTATAAGGTTTATTTGTTCATATGGTATAGCATGGTATAGCATTGACAAAACGAAAACAAACAAACAATAGCATTCCCTAGACATTTCCAGATAGAAATTAAGTCTAAAATAAACTGAGGAGGAGGCCAATAGGAATTGAAAACCCTTAACCACAAACAACAGAAAAAGATTTACATATCCAGTTATCAGAGGAGGAGCCTCATAGTCAAACACTGGTATAGGCTGGGTATACCTGCAACCATGAGGATGTCTCTGTAGAGGATCTACTCAGCTCTCTCACTGTCTTATCTCTCAGTTGGTTTATCTAGTCTGTGTCAGGATGTCACTCATATTACTGTTGCTCCTCTCTGTGTTTGTAGGTGAGTGCTGAATTCTCATCTTCAACCAAATAACATTTTGAATACAGTGATATTGCTTTTTTCATTGAATGATGCATTAAACATTAAGTGATATTTTACTGGAAAGTTTAAATTATTTCTCTTGTTGCACTTTATGGGCACCTAATCCATGCATTTTTTCTCATTTGGAATAAACATGAACACAATGACAATACTTATGTTGTTGCAGCTGATAGTATGGAGCAGGAAACAATAACTCCAGTGAAGCCTGAAGTCAATGTTCTCCAAGGAACAGACATCACTCTCTCCTGCATCTACAAGGGCAATGTTAACTATCTCCAATGGTACCGTCAATACCCCGGATCTAAACCAGAATGTCTTCTTTTGATCCTACAAAGCAGCATTTTTGTACAGAATACATCCAATAAGACTCCACGACACACTGGTAGACTCAATGAAGAGAAGACCCTTGTGGATTTAAAGATCACCTCTGCTGAACTGGAAGACCCAGACACACTGTACAAAAACCTGTCAAGTGCCTTGGGAAGAAACCAATGAGAAGGGGAGGAGCTACAGTAAGCAGAAATAAAGTAAGATACATCAAGGCAACAGAGGAGTAAATATTCAGAGATAGCCAAGATTATGTTTCTGTATGCAGTACTACTGCTATGCATATTTGTAGGTACTAAGTACGTAGAGGGATTGATAGATTCTGGAGCAGCAGGTAATTTTATCGATCACCAGCTAGTACAAGAGCTTGACATTGATCTAACACCTGTCACCCCTCCCTTAAGGATTAACACCCTGGACGGGCAGCCATTGGGCTTGGGCTTCATTACGCACCTGACACAGAGCGTCACCCTCCAGATTGGAGTCTTCCACACCAAAACCATTCAACTCATGGAACTCTCATCCCCCAAACAGCCACTCATCCTCAGACACCCGTGGCTTTGTTGTCATGACCCTGCCGTCTTCTACCTGCTTCACCAGTTGTCTCAGCCTACCCTGCAGAGCCACTACCATTGAGGACTCTGCCTCTGCAGTACTACCCACCATACCATCTGAATACGCCCAGTACAGCAATGTCATCAGCAAAATCAAGGCCTCCACTCTGCCACCACATCACCCAAGGGACTGTGCTATTGACTAACTCCCTGGAGTGTCCCCACCGAAGGGTTGTGTTTACCACCTATCTATGGAGGAAAATGAGGCAATGGAGAACTACATTGATGACGCATTCGAAAATGGTTTAATTCATCCTTCTTCTTCCCCGGCTGCGTCAAGCTTCTTCTTCGTTGGGAAAAAGGACGATGGTCTCCGTCCATGTATTGATTACCGTTGACCCTGAATGACATCACGGTCAAGAACCGTTTCCCTCTTCCTCTGATTCCAACGACCCTTGATCTATACAAAAGTCGACCTGCAAAGTGCATATAACCTTGTCCGTATACGCGAAGGCGACGAATGGAAGACGGCCTTTATCACAGCGCGAGGACACTACGAATACCTGGTCATGCCCTACGGCCTTACTAACGCCCCCGCTATCTTCCAATCCTTTATGAACAAGGTTTTCCAGGATATAATCAACTGCTTTCTCATTGTCTACATTGATGACATCCTGATTTACACCCACTCCCTGAAGGAACACCTACAGCACGTACAAAAGTATCTTCAATGGCTCATTGACCATAACCTTTATGTGAAGACTGAAAAGAGCACCTTCCATGTAACCTCGGTAAACTTCCTCGGTTTTCCTACTGACACCTTGAGGGGTCAGCATGGATGAGAACAAAGTCACTGCCGTCAGTAACTAGCCCAAATCCACCACGTTATGGAACTCCAACGTTTCATTGGGTTCTCCAACTTCTATCTCCGGTTCATTCAGAACTTCAGTTCTACTGCTGCTCCCCTCATTGCCCTTACCAGCCATAAGACCCGGACCCTTCAATGGACTGATACCGCCCTGACTGCTTTCAACAACTTGAAATGCCTCTTTACCTCAGCTCCTTTTCTTTCACCAACCTGATCCGACCCTTCCTTTCACTCTGGAGGTGGATGCCTCCGAAGTAGGTGTAGGAGCCACACTCTCTCAGCGGGTGGGAACACCTCCAAAATCACATCCCTGTGCCTTCTTCTCCAGGAAGTTATCCTCCGCTGAGAGGAATTACGATGTGGGGAACAGAGAACTCCTTGCCATCAAGCTGGCCCTTGAGAAGTGGCGGCACCTGATGGAGGGCGCTCAACATCCCTTTCTCGTCCTAACAGATAATTGTAATCTGGAAAATATAAGACAAGCCCACTGGGCTCTCTTCTTCACACGCTTCCATTTTCATGTTACTTACATACATGGAAAGAAAAATGGAAAAGCTGATGCTCTCTCCCGCCAGTTTGACCTTCCAACCAGTAACTCAGACCCTACACCCATTCTTCCTTTCTCTTGCATTATGGGACCGGTACTGTGGGAGGTTCACTCTGCCATACAAGAAGCCATAACCTCAGACCCGGCTCCTCCTGAGACACCAGCTGGGAAGAGTTACGTACCAGCAGCTGTTAGACCCCAACTGATACAATGGTGTCACGCGTCCTTGGGGTCAGGACATCCGGGCATTACACAAACCACTGAACTTCTAGCCCGTAAATTCTGGTGGTCCTCACTGGCATCCAACGTAAGGGATTACATACTCTCCTGTCCAGTCTGCGCCCAAACCAAAAGCCCTCGTCATCTCACTTCCGGTAAGCTTCAGCCTTTGCCAATCCCTCATAGACCCTGGTCCCACATAAATAGTAATATAATAATAACATGCCATTTAGCAGACGCTTTTATCCAAAGCGACTTACAGTCATGCGTGCATACATTTTTGTGCATGGGTGGTCCCGGGGATCGAACCCACTACCTTGGCGTTACAAGCGCCGTGCTCTACCAGCTGAGCTACAGAGGACCACATAAAGTTAACGTCGGAAGTTTACATACACTTAGGTTGGAGTCATTAAAACTCATTTTTCAACCACTCCACAAATTTCTTGTTAACAAACTATAGTTTTGGCAAGACGGTTAGGACATCGACTTTGTGCATGACACAAGTAATTTTTTCCAACAATTGTTTACAGACAGATTATTTCACTTATAATTCACTGTATTACAATTCCAGTGGGTCAGAAGTTTACATACACTAAGTTGACTGTGCGTTTAAACAGCTTGGAAAATTCCAGAAAATGATGTCATGGCTTTAGAAGCTTCTGATGGGCTAATTGACATAACTGGGTCAATTAGAGGTGTACCTGTGGATGTATTTCAAGGCCTACCTTCAAACTCAGTGCCTCTTTGCTTGACATCATGGGAAAATCAAAAGAAGTCTGCCAAGACCTCAGAAAAAGAATTGTAGACATCCACAAGTCTGGTTCATCCTTGGGAGCAATTTCCAAATGCCTGAAGGTATCTCGTTCATCTGTACAAACAATAGTATGCAAGTATAAACACCATGGGACCACGCAGCCGTCATACCGCTCAGGAAGGAGACGCGTTCTGTCTCCTAGAGATGAACGTACTTTGGTGCGAAAAGTGCAAATCAATCCCAGAACAACAGCAAAGGACCTTGTGAAGATGCTGGAGGAAACCGGTACAAAAGTATCAATATCCACATTCAATCGAGTCCTATATCGACATAACCTGAAAGGCCTCTCAGCAAGGAACAAGCCACTGCTCCAAAACCGCCATAAAAAAGCCTGACTTCGGTTTGCAACTGCACATGGGGACAAAGATCATACTTTTTGGAGAAATGTCCTCTGGTCTGATGAAACATAAATAGAACTGTTTGGCCATAATGACCATTGTTATGTTTGGAGGAAAAAGGGTGTTCCTTGCAAGCCGGAGAACACCATCCCAACCGTGAAGCACGGGGGTGGCAGCATCATGCTGTGGGGGTGCTTTCCTGCAGGAGGGACTGGTGCACTTCACAAAATAGATGGCTTCATGAGGAAGGAAAATTATGTGGATATATTGAAGCAACATCTCAGGACATCAGTCAGGAAGTTAAAACTTGGTCGCAAATGGGTATTCCAAATGGACAATGACCCCAAGAATACTTCCAAAGTTGTGGCAAAATGGCTTAAGGGCAACAAAACCAAGGTATTGGAGTGGCCATCACAAAGCCCTGATCTCAATCCTATAGAAAATGTGTGCGCAGAACAAAAAATGTGTGTGCGAGCAAGGAGGCCTACAAACCTGACTCAGTTACACCAGCTCTGTCAGGAGGAATTGGCAAAAATTCACCCAACTTATTGTGGGAAGCTTGTGGAAGGCTACCCGAAACGTTTGACCCAAGTTAAACAATTTAAAGGCAATGCTACCAAATACTAATTGATTGTGTGTAAACTTCTGACCCACGGGGAATGTGATGAAAGAAATAAAAGCAGAAATAAAAAATTCTCTCTACTATTATTCTGATATTTCACATTCTTAAAAGAAAGTGGTGATCCTAACTGGCCTAAGACAGGGAATTTTTACTAGGATTTAATGTCAGGAATTGTGAAAAACTGAGTTTAAATGTATTTGGCTAAGGTGTATGTAAACTTCCGACTTCAACTGTATATTTTCCCTGCATCTCCACATCAACTGAAAAATAAAACTGTTATTTTAGGGAAATATGTTCCCTTCTTCAGGAAATAAGACTTTATATTGTCTGCATGTTCCTGTTGTGATGTAACATGATCACTGATACTAGTCTGAATAGATACAGAATGAAGAACATTCGTAGTGTTGTTTTGCTTTCTTAGAGGATTAAGGGCAGTAATTGTCTTCTTCTTATCCGTTGGTTTTTGTCAACAGCATACATTTTGAGATAATACCAATAGAGGGCATTTATGAGCTGAATTATCTCTATTTAGAACCAGCAAAATCATGAAGATTACATTTAGCAGCAATCCAATCCAGAAATCCAATCCAGAAATCCAGTTAATACTAATAATCTCTACCTGTTCTGGTACAAGCATGAAGTAAAGTTCATGCTGGGACGTTTTTCTTTTGGAAGTACAAATGTCACTGAGTTCAAGGAGATTTTTGATGCCCATCTCAACACAGACTCCAAATCAGACGATCCAGAGGGTGCCGCTGTGTACTACTGTGCTCTGAAGCCCACTGTGATAACAGGATATACAGCCTCCTTACAAAATCATACTGATCTACAAGATGACAATACACCTGTCTGGACAGTATACAACACCACTTTGAAATTGACACAGTAACCTTCTCACTACCGCCCTGATACCAAGACTAGTGGTAGCAGATGATGATAATCATAGTCTCTCAACTGCACATATAACACCAGTTTATCAGCTCCATTTCTCTTCTGGTACATTCAATCCACAAACGATTACCCTGAATATGTTGAAAGGATGTCATTGGACCAGGGGATTTTGATGATGAATTCAAGAAGAGATTTGATGCCCATCTCAGTTCCATTACCAAATCAGTCCCCTTGACGATCCAGAGGTTGCAGCTGCTGTGTACTACTGTGCTCTGAGGCCACCGTGACAACAGGATATACAGCCCCCCTACAAAAACAAGTGTATCCTTGGCACTAATGAAGAAAAAACGCAAGCCTTACTTCTGTGGTGGGTGTGACGTAACCAGGGCTGTACACCTCAAACAGTGACACACAAAAGAACATTTCAGAGGAGAGTGAATGCATGCAAACATCAGCCTGAAGATGGAGAAATCAATCAGCGTATTGATCATTCTGATTATGGCTACAGGTAAACAATACCTAAACATTTGAATTCCTTGCATCCTTATAATCAGATTATTATTATGGTATTGGTTGGAAATGTTTTTTGATGAAGTGAAATAATTTAAATATGAATAATAAGCATGCGTTTTCAATCAGCTTTATTATCTATTTATCTGCAGGTGTCACGCCCTGGCTCTGGGGACTCTTAAATGTTGAGCCAGGGTGTGTAGTTTCTATGTTAAGTTTTCTATGTTTAGGTTCTAGATCGTTTAGATCTATGTTGGCCAGGATGGTTCCCAATCAGAGGCAGCTGTAGCTCGTTGTCTCTGATTGGAGACCATACTTAGGCAGCCTGTTTGGCACCAGTCTGTGTGGGATCTTGTTCCGTATAGGTATGTTATTAGTCTACCTTGGACTTCATGTATCGTTTGTTTGTTGTTTTGTTCGTGTTCAGTTCTTGAATAAATATGTACGCTTATCACGCTGCGCCTTGGTCCGTCTCATCCGTAAACGATCGTGACAGAAGATCCCACCAAATGAGGACCTAGCAGCGTGCCCAGGAAGAGAGAATAGCGATGTCTCAGGTGGGCAAATGGTGGTCATGGGAGGAGATATTCGCGGGGAAAGGGCCATGGGCGAAGGTAAATGCCGAGGCAGGAGAGGAGAAACGGCGCCAAACGTGCCGACGACGGACACCCGAGAGGCAACCCCAAGATTTTTTTTTGGGGGGGGGCACACGGCGTGGACGACGAGGCAGCAGGAGGCAGCAACAGGGCGAATCTGCAGACTAGGAGAGGAGGTCACCAGGTTACGGGGGCTATTGGTCAAGAGGGAGCAGGAGTTAATTGGTCAGAGGGAGGAGCTACAGGAGGCGATAAGGGAGAAGGAGAGTGTAGAGGCACGGCGAGAGGAGCTGGTTAGGCAGCAGAAGGAGAGGGGGTTTATAAGGGAACCCAGTCCCGCTCCTCGCACCAAGCAAGTGGTGTGTGTCGCCAGTCCGGTCCGGCCCGTTCCTGATCCCCGCACTAAGCCAGTGGTACGTGTTCCCAGTACGGCCCGACCCATTCCTGCTTCCCGCACAAGGCCAGTGGTGTGTGTTCCCAGTACAGTCCGGCCCGTTCCTGCTCCCCGCACCAAGCCAGTGGTGCGGGTTCCCAGTCCGGCCCAGCCCGTTCCCGCTCCCCGCACCAACCCAGTGGTGCGTGTTCCCAGTCCGGCCCGGCCCGTTCCTGCTCCCCGCACCAAGCCAGTGGTGCGCGTCGTCAGCCCGGTCCGGCCCGTTCCTGCTCTCCGCACCAAGCCAGTGGTGCGCGTCGTCAGCCCGGTCCGGCCCGTTCCTGCTCTCCGCACCAAGCCAGTGGTGTGCGTCGCCAGCCCTGTCCGGCTTGTTCCTGTCCCTCGCGCCAAGCCAGTGGTGCGCGTTGCCAGTCCGGTACGGCCCGTTCCTGCTCCCCGCAACAAGCCAGTGGTGCGCGTCGTCAGCCCGGTCGTGCGCGTCGTCAGCCCGGTCCGGCCCGTTCCTGCTCCCCGCACCAAGCCAGTGGTGCTCGTCGTCAGCCCGGTCCGGCCCGTTCCTGCTCCCCGCACCAAGCCAGTGGTGCGCGTCGTCAGCCCGGTCCGGTCCATTCCTGCTCCCCGCACCAAGCCAGTGGTGCGTGTGTCCAGTCCGGCATGGCCCGTGCCTGTTCCACCGGTGCCTGGTCCGGCACCGGTCAGCTGCTCCACTCCGGAGCCAGAGCAATCCGCTCCACCGGGGTCCGGTCCTACTCCAGCCAGTGGACCAGGGGCACAACAGGGAGGTGGGGAGAAAGTGGTGGTCACGCCCGGAGCCGGATCCGCCTCCGAGGTGGAATGCCCACCCGGCCCCTACAATGTCATGTTTATGTGGCGCGGTCGGAGTCCGCACCTTTGGGGGGGGGGTACTTTCACGCCCTGGCTCTGGGGACTATTGAATGTTGAGCCAGGGTGTGTAGTTTCTATGTTAAGTTTTCTATGTTTAGGTTCTAGATCGTTTAGATCTATGTTGGCCAGGGTGGTTCCCAATCAGAGGCAGCTGTAGCTCGTTGTCTCTGATTGGGGACCATACTTAGGCAGCCTGTTTGGCACCAGTCTGTGTGGGATCTTGTTCCGTATAGGTATGTTATTAGTCTACCTTGGACTTCACGTATCGTTTATTTTGTTGTTTTGTTCGTGTTCAGTTCTTGAATAAATATGTACGCTTATCACGCTGCGCCTTGGTCCGTCTCATCCGTAAACGATCCTGACAGCAGGAATGGTATCTGGAGATAGTGTGACTCCTGACAAGGAGGAGTACACCCCCACTGAGGGATCATCAGTGACTCTGAGCTGTACATATAACTCAAGCAGCGTTTATGTTTACCTTTACTGGTACCGGCATTATTCTAACCAGGCTCCTCAGTTTCTACTGAATAAAGGTGCCAGATCAAGAACCAGTGAACATATCCCTGATAAGAGATATACATCCAAAACGTCCTATAAATCAACTGAACTGATCATACAACAGCTAACCCTGGCCATACAACAGCTAACCCTGGCAGACACAGCGCTCTACTATTCTGCTCTTGACTCAACACTGTGAGTCCCGTGTAGCTCAGTTGGTAGAGCATGGCGTTTGCAACGCCAGGGTTGTGGGTTCGATTCCCACGGGGGACCAGTACGAAAATGTATGCACTTACTAACTGTAAGTCACTCTGGATAAGAGCGTCTGCTAAATGACTAAAAATGTAAAAAAAAAAAAAAAAAAAATGTGATACAAAGTCTATAAGACACTGTACAAAAACCTGCAAACCAAAAATGCTGTGTTGCTGTGTGAAACATAATTAAATATCAAACCACAATGTGATATCATAATGGCAGAGGTTGAGATCAGAGAAGTGTGGTCACACCTGTGCTGTATGCAATCACCAGGTTGTCTTGTGTTTCTCTGTCTTCATATTCAATGAACTGTGAGAAAGATGAATTTGTCACTCTTCTTGTCTTCAATTTCAGTTAGAAAATGGTTGGAAAAGCATTTGGGAATATGACAAAGTACAACAATGTTATTGTTTGTAGTTACTCCTCACAATTCACACAGTTTGGGCTGTAGTGGAACAGGTTGAGAGCTTCAAGTTCCTTGTTGTCCACATCACCAACAAACTATCATGGTCCAAACACACCAAAACTGTCATGAAGAGGGCACGACAAAGCCTATTCCCCCTAAGGAGACTGAAAAGATTTGGCATGGGTCCTCAGATTCTCAAAAAGTTATACAGCTGCACCATCGAGAGGATCCTCATTGGTTGCATCACTGCCTGGTATGGCAACTGCTGGCCTCCGACCACAAGGCACTACAGAGTGTAGTGCGTACGGCCCAGTACATCACTGGGGCCAAGCTTCCTGCCATCCAGGACCTATATACCAGGCAGTGTCAGAGGAAGGCCCTAAAAATGGTCAAAGTCTCCAGCCCCCCGGTACCGGAGCGCGAAGTCTAGGTCCAAAAGGCTTCTTAACAGCTTCTACCCCTAAGCCATAAGACTCCTGAACAGCTAATCATGGCTACCCAGACTATTTGCATTGTCCCCCCCACCCCACCCCACCCCATCATTTACGCTGCTGATGCTCTGTTTATTATCTATGCATTGTCACTTTAACTGTACCCACATGTACATATTACCTCAATTACCTCGACTAACCAGTGCCCCCGCACATTGACTCTGTACTGGTACTTCCTGTATATAACCTCCGTACTGTTATTTTATTTTACTGTGCTCTTTATTTATTTTTTACTCATCAAATTTTTACTTAACACTTTTTTTCTTAAAACTGCATTGTTGGTTAAGCATTTCACTGTAAGGTCTATACCTGTTGTATTCGGCGCATGTGGCAAATAAAATTGATTTGATTTGATTTTGGTGGTGTAGTATGAAAGTCAACCTGAAGGGGTCAACTTAACAAAGCACACACACCCCTGAATCAGAGGATGCCATACAGACAAACACATCCCATGGTCTACTACTGCATGTAATACAGAACAACATGAAGCATCAACAGTAGGACAGAGGGTGTCAACGCTCTGTGATAGATAGATCAGCATTGTTCTGCTCCTTACCTTTTACACTTCAAACTGACTGACTAGTCATGAGAAATTGGCTGATCCTGCATGTTCTGGCTGCATGCTGCTTTGGTATAACATCACTTTGTTCATCTGTCTCGTTCTGTGCATTTGTTCATTTTATTTAGATACATTATGATTATATGTTGTGAAGATATATTTCTCTTTATTTTTCAGGGTGCAGAGCATAAGACAATGTAACACAGCCAACAGAAGATGTAATGGTTGTAGAAGGACAACCAGCAACACTCACTTCTCTATTCGATACAACTGATCCATTGCCATATCTCTTCTGGTACAAACAACAAGCAAATGGCAAGCCCATGTTTATGCTGAGAAAGGATACAGTTGGAGTCGGGGAAACTGCTGCTGAGTTCAAGGAGAGATTTCATGCCCATCTGAATGTCACAGCAAAGTCAGTACCATTGACGATCCAGAGGTTGCAGCTGTCTGTGTTGTGGAAATTCAGCACTATACTTTATTAACAATCAAAGTTCTTACAGAGTTTTTGTTGAATCAAGATTTACTTTATTGAATTATTATTATTATTATTATTTTTTTCACCTTTATTTAACCAGGTAAACCAGTTGAGAACAAGTTCTCATTTACAACTGCAACCTGGCCAAGATAAAGCAAAGCAGTGCGATAAAAACAACAACACAGAGTTACATATGGGGTAAAACAAAACAAAGTCAAAAATACAACAGAAATACATATATATACAGTGTGTGCAAATGTAGCAAGTTATGGAGGTAAGGCAATAAATAGGCTATAGTGCAAAATAATTAAAATTAGTATTAACACTGGAATGATAGATGTGCAAGAGATGATGTGCAAATAGAGATACTGGGGTACAAATGAGCAAATTAAATAACAATATAGGGATGAGGTAGTTGGGTGGGCTAATTTCAGATGGGCTGTGTACAGGTGCAGTGATCGGTAAGGTGCTCTGACAACTGATACTTAAGGTTAGTGAGGGAGATAAGTGTCTCCAGCTTCAGAGATTTTTGCAATTTGTTCCAGTCATTGGCAGCAGAGAACTGGAAGGAATGGCGGCCAAAGGAGGTGTTGGCTTTGGGGATGACCAGTGAGATATACCTGCTGGAGCGCAGACTACGGGTGGGTGTTGCTATGGTGACCAATGAGCTAAGATAAGGCGGGGATTTGCCTAGCAGTGATTTATAGATGGCCTGGAGCCAGTGGGTTTGGCGACGAATATGTAGTGAGGACCAGCCAACAAGAGCGTACAGGTCACAGTGGTGGGTATTATATGGGGCTTTGGAGACAAAACGGATGGCACTGTGATAGACTACATCCAATTTGCTGAGTAGAGTGTTGGAGGCTATTTTGTAAATGACATCGCCGAAGTCAAGGATCGGTAGGATAGTCAGTTTTACGAGGGCATGTTTGGCAGCATGAGTGAAGCAGGCTTTGTTGCGAAATAGGAAACCGATTCTAGATTTAACTTTAGATTGGAGATTCTTAATGTGAGTCTGGAAGGAGAGTTTACAGTCTAACCAGACACCTAGATATTTGTAGTTGTCCACATACTCTAGGTCAGACCCGTCGAGAGTAGTGATTCTAGTCGGGTGGGCGGGTGCAAGCAGCGTTCGGTTGAAGAGCATGCATTTAGTTTTACTAGTGTTTAAGAGCAGTTGGAGGCTACTGAAGAAGTGTTGTATGGCATTGAAGCTCGTTTGGAGGTTTGTTAACACAGTGTCCAATGAAGGGCCAGATGTATACAAAATGGTGTCGTCTGCGTAGAGGTGGATCTGAGAGTCACCAGCAGCAAGAGCGACGTCATTGATATACACAGAGAAAAGAGTCGGCCCAAGAATTGAACCCTGTGGCACCCCCATAGAGACTGCCATAGGTCCAGACAACAGGCCCTCCGATTTGACACATTGAACTCTATCTGAGAAGTAGTTGGTGAACCAGGCGAGGCAGTCATTTGAGAAACCAAGGCTATTTAGTCTGCCAATAAGAATGCGGTGGTTGACAGAGTCGAAAGCCTTGGCCAGGTCAATGAAAACGGCTGCACAGTACTGTCTATTATCGATCGCGGTTATAATACCGTTTAGGACCTTGAGCGTGGCTGAAGTGCACCCATGACCAGCTCGGAAACCGGATTGCATAGCGGAGAAGGTACGGTGGGATTCGAAATGGTCGGTGATCTGTTTGTTGACTTGGCTTTCAAAAACTTTTGAAAGGCAGGGCAGGATGGATATGGGTCTGTAACAGTTTGGATCTAGAGTGTCACACCCTTTGAAGAGGGGGATGACCGCGGCAGCTTTCCAATCTCTGGGGATCTCAGATGTTACGAAAGAGAGATTGAACAGGCTAGTAATAGGGGTTGCGACAATTTCGGCGGCTAGTTTTAGAAAGAAAGGGTCCATATTGTCTAGCCCAGATGATTTGTAGGGGTCCAGATTTTGCAGCTCTTTCAGAACATCAGCTGTCTGGATTTGTGTGAAGGAGAAGCGGGGGGGGGCATGGGCAAGTTGCAGCGGAGGGTGCAGAGCTGGTGGCCGGGGTAGTGGTAGCCAGGTGGAAAGCATGGCCAGCCGTAGCAAAATGCTTGTTGAAATTCTCGATTATTGTAGATTTATCGGTGGTGATAGTGTTTCCTAGCCTCAGTGCAGTGGGCAGCTGGGAGGAAGTGCTCTTATTTTCCATGGACTTTACAGTGTTCCAAAACTTTTTGGAGTTAGTGCTACAAGATGCAAATTTCTGTTTGAAAAAGTTAGCCTTTGCTTTCCTAACTGCTTGTGTATATTGGTTCCTAACTTCCCTGAAAAGTTGCATATCGCGGGGGCTATTTGATGCTAATGCAGTACGCCACAGGATGTTTTTGTGCTGGTCAAGGGCAGTCAAGTCTGAGGAGAACCAGGGGCTATATCTGTTCTTAGTTCTGTATTTTTTTAATGGGGCATGTTTATTCAAGATTGAGAGGAAATTACTTTTAAAGAACAACCAGGCATCCTCTACTGACGGAATGAGATCTATATCCATCCAGGATACCTGGGCCAGGTCAATTAGGAAGGCCTGCTCGCTGAAGTGTTTTTGGGAGCGTTTGACAGTGATGAGGGGTGGTCGTTTGACCGCGGACCCGTTACGGACGCAGGCAATAAGGCAGTGATCGCTGAGATCCTCGTTGAAGACAGCGGAGGTGTATTTAGAGGGTAAGTTAGTCAGGATGATATCTATGAGGGTACCCATGTTTACGGATTTAGGGTTGTACCTGGTAGGTTCGTTGATCATTTGTGTGAGATTGAGGGCATCTAGTTTAGATTGTAGGATGGCCGGGGTGTTAAGCATATCCCAATTTAGGTCACCAAGCAGTACGAACTCTGAGGATAGATGGGGGGCAATCAATTCACATATGGAGTCCAGGGCACAGCTGGGGGCTGAGGGGGGTCTGTAGCAAGCGGCAACAGTGAGATACTTATTTCTGGAAAGGTGGATTTTTAGAAGAAGAAGCTCAAACTGTTTGGGCACAGACCTGGATAGTATGATAGAGCTCTGCAGGCTATCTCTACAGTAGATTGCAACTCCACCCCCTTTGGCAGTTCTATCTAGACGGAAAATGTTATAGTTGGGGATGGAAATTTCAGAATTTTTGGTGGCCTTCCTAAGCCAGGATTCAGACACTGCTAGAACATCAGGGTTGGCGGAGTGTGCTAACGCAGTGAATAACTCAAACTTAGGAAGGAGGCTTCTGATATTTACGTGCAGAAAACCAAGACTTTTACGGTTACAGAAGTCAACAAATGATAGCTCCTGGGGAGTAGGAGTGATACTGGGGGCTGCAGGGCCTGGGTTAGCCTCTACATCACCAGAGGAACAGAGGAGGACTAGAATAAGGATACGACTAAAGGCTTTAAGAACTGGTCTTCTAGTGCGTTGGGTACATAGAATAAAGGGGGCAGTTCTCCGGGCGTTGTAGAAAAGATTCAGGGCATTATGTACAGAAAAGGATATGGAAGGATATGAGTACAGTTCAGGTAACCCTAAGCGTTGGGTAACAATGAAAGAGATAGCGTCACTGGAGGCACCGATTGAGCCGGTCTCGGCGTGTATGGGGGGTGGAACAAAGGAACTATTTGAGGCAGTTTGAGAGGGACTAGGGGTTCTACAGTGAAATTGTATAATAAGAACTAACCCAAACAGCAATAGGCAAGGCATAATTGACATGGGAGAGAGGCATAAAGCAGTCACAGGTGTTATTAGAGAGAGCTAAGACAACAACTGGAAATAGCGATAACGTTTGGGCTAAGGCTAAACAGAATAAACAGGACAGGGTACCGTGTAAAGGAACAGTCCAGCAGGCATCAGCTGTGCAGCTGAGTGATCATAAGGTCCAGTGAACAGCAATATGTGAGTCCGAGAGCAGTTCAAATTGGTGCTTCAGCACAGCTAGCAGGGAGCACAGTTGTAGTTTGCGTGTGCTAGCGGGCCGGGGCTGGCAGATGGATCTTCGTGGTCGTCGCAACGGGAAGCCTGTTGAAACCACATCAGACTATTTCGTTGGCAAACCAGTCGTGTTGGATCGGCGGGGCTCAGTGTCAACACTAGGAGGTCCCGTCCGGTTGACAGAGAGGTAGATAGCCGGGAGATGGGCCTGAGGCTAGCTCAAGGCTAACTGGTGCTTGCTATAGGGCAATGGTAATTAGCCAACAACAGGTTGCAGCTAGCTAGCTGGTTGCGATGATCCGGCGCTAGGGTCCAGTGATTCCGGCAGAAAGTCCAATAAGCTCTGGGTCGATAGCATGCTGTGCAGACTGGCCGACGAATTGTCCAGGCTAGAGCTAGAGCTGGCTGGTGGATAGTGTAGGCCACGGACAGTGGTGAAGACGCTAACGGTGACTAATAGCAAGTAGCCATTCAGTTGCAGCTACACTAGCTACACTAGTTTCAGCTTAAGGTTCTTGATGAAAGTTATAAAGAAATAATAGAATCCTTTCCACGTTGGGTGAGGAGGGTTGCAGGAAAGTATATTTAGTTAAAGAATGAAAAGTAAAAATTGAGAAATATATACAAAAATAGACAAAAAAACAAGAAACGGGATATTTACACAAGGACAATGAATAAAAGCGACCGCACTGGTCTGCAGAGTAGCCTTTCCTCTCCCTCTCTCTCTCCATCTTATATAGTGCCCTCCACACACCCTAGCTTTAAAATCCCTCCTTCTTCAGTTTCCC